AAGCTGTGATCAAGAATTGATACGAGTCACTCAGGCTGCCGAGGAGTGTGATCACCAGATCGTCCTCGCAGACTGGAGCCCCCACCGCTTCTAGCTGTTCCGCCAGCGTCTTGAGCTTGTTGATGTGTTCTAGCACATCGTCGCCTTCTTCCATCATTGTCGTGAAGAAGCGACGGCGCAAGAACAGCTTGTTGGCAAGACTCTTCTTCTCGAAGTGGTCTTCCAACCTTGACCATGCGTCGCATGCACCACTTGCCGACCGGACCAACGGTAGCTGGGAATCTTCCATGGCTAGACAGATCACTGCCATCGCCTTTCTTGACTTCCTCTTGTACGTCGCTTGGTCCAACTGAGTCTCGCACTGTTCCGCCTTGATCTCACCGCTGACGACCTCCCATAGGTCCCGTTCCTCCAGCACCATCTGCATCTTGAACTTCCAGGCGTGGAAGTTAGTTCCATCGAACTTGGAGATGCGGAGGGAGGAGGCGTCCATGGCAGCTAAGCTTGAATTGTTGGCGGTTTCAGAGTCTGACGAACTTGGGCTCATAACCTGATGAACTTTAGACTTCTTGGTCCGAGTGCAAAACGCAAAGTGAATATATATTTATAATAGGTACTTAGTTCGCAACTTTGAATACTACCTCTAAGCCTATTATTCGCAGTGACGTCATCCAGTGACGTCACCCACTGACGTCACCCACTGACGTCATGCAATGACGTCACCCACTGACGTCATGCAATGACGTCATCCAGTGACGTCATTTCCTGACTTCGCCCTTACTGGTACATACCGGTACCCACCGGTATAGCGAAGCTTGGTCTTCCACTTGCTTCAACACTTGACGCAGCTTGACGAGGTGTCTTCTTCACAGCCGCTGTCTTTTCAACAGGAAGTAAAGGTGATGAAGCTTCGCAAGGTCAAGCGTTCATCACAAGGGACAATCAGCGCAAAGGGCGACCAGTGAAGAAGTCCTGGCCGTGCCACAATTGCGGAAAGATTGGTCACTGGATGGCGGAGTGCCCCTCGCGCATCCAAGAAAACACGGAGAGACACCGGCCACAGCGTGCTCAAGACAGCGGCGACCGCTATCGATCACAACGTGCAAACGTCGCTCAAGAAGAAGACTCGGGCGACTACCTCTTTTCGATCGGTGAAACGACATCTGCGAAATCGAGCGACATCTGGCTGGTCGACTCCGGGGCGACGCAGCACATGACGTGCTCCAAGAAGTTCATGCGGAACTACAAGGGGTTTGACGCTGTGGATGTCCATCTCGCGGATGATGGAATCGTCCAAGCAATCGGCAGTGGGGACATTGTCATGTCGATGAAGACACCCCAAGGGATGAAGAAAGGTGTGCTCACAAACGTGTGGCACATCCCAAAGTTATCCAGAAACCTGTTCTCGGTCGGCCGCTTCACCAAGGATGTCGGCCCAGTGACGTTCACGAAGGATGGGTGCTATGGAGAAGCGAAAGGGACCAAGTGGAAAATTGGTGCCCGTGAAGGTAAAGGACTGTTCAAGCTGCAAATGACTCCAGTGGCGCCGGAACAAGCAAATGCAGCCAAGTCGTCGGGATGTCAAGGGGGCACCAAGTCGTACCTCTGGCACCTTCGGCTTGGCCACATAGGTCACGATGGACTCAATTGCATCGTGACGAAGAACATTGGAATTGGCATCGACATATCTTCGGTGAAGAAGTGGGACGTGTGTGAAGGTTGTGCTCTGGGAAAACAGACTCGAGTGCGCTTCCAATCAAACACTACAGCTCGCACCTCCAAACTCCTCGAAGTGATTCACAGCGACGTATGCGGACCGATGTCGATGGCAACTTTCAGTGGAAAACGGTACTTCGTGACATTCATTGATGACAAGTCAAGATACTGTGTCGTCTATCTGCTCAAGAGCAAATCTGAAGTTGCGGCGAAGTTCATGGAATACGCTGCGATGGCCGAAACGCAAACCGGAAAGCGCGTGAAGTACCTTCAAAGCGACAATGGGGGTGAATACAAGTCCGACAAGCTGGCACGATTCTGCGCGGAACGGGGAATACAACAAAGGTTCACACCCCCATATACTCCTCAGCTAAACGGAGTAGCTGAGAGAATGAATCGCACGCTGGTCGAGTGTGCGCGTTGCATGATGGAACACGCTGGACTGGGAAAGAGCTACTGGGGTGAAGCAGTGATGACGGCGATGTTTCTTCGAAACCGCTGTCCAACACGTGCCATTCACCAAGACAAGTCTCCATATCAAGTGTGGACGATGAAGAAACCGATTCTGGCCAACCTTAAAGTTTTTGGATGCCACGCGTATGTTCAAGTGCCTCATGTTGAAAAGACAGCGGCTGTGAAGAAGACACCTCGTCAAGCTGCGTCAAGTGTTGAAGCAAGTGGAAGACCAAGCCTCGCTATACCGGTGGGTACCGGTATGTACCAGTAAGGGCGAAGTCAGGAAATGACGTCACTGGATGACGTCATTGCATGACGTCAGTGGGTGACGTCAGTGGGTGACGTCACTGGATGACGTCACTGCGAATAATAGGCTTAGAGGTAGTATTCAAAGTTGCGAACTAAGTACCTATTATAAATATATATTCACTTTGCGTTTTGCACTCGGACCAAGAAGTCTAAAGTTCATCAGGTTATGAGCCCAAGTTCGTCAGACTCTGAAACCGCCAACAATTCAAGCTTAGCTGCCATGGACGCCTCCTCCCTCCGCATCTCCAAGTTCGATGGAACTAACTTCCACGCCTGGAAGTTCAAGATGCAGATGGTGCTGGAGGAACGGGACCTATGGGAGGTCGTCAGCGGTGAGATCAAGGCGGAACAGTGCGAGACTCAGTTGGACCAAGCGACGTACAAGAGGAAGTCAAGAAAGGCGATGGCAGTGATCTGTCTAGCCATGGAAGATTCCCAGCTACCGTTGGTCCGGTCGGCAAGTGGTGCATGCGACGCATGGTCAAGGTTGGAAGACCACTTCGAGAAGAAGAGTCTTGCCAACAAGCTGTTCTTGCGCCGTCGCTTCTTCACGACAATGATGGAAGAAGGCGACGATGTGCTCGAACACATCAACAAGCTCAAGACGCTGGCGGAACAGCTAGAAGCGGTGGGGGCTCCAGTCTGCGAGGACGATCTGGTGATCACACTCCTCGGCAGCCTGAGTGACTCGTATCAATTCTTGATCACAGCTTTGGAGTCGCGCTCAGACACTCTTAGCTGGGAGCTCGTGACGTCTCGACTGCTTCATGAAGAAATGAAGCGGAAGGAGCAAGGAAGTAAAGGTGATGAAGCTTCGCAAGGTCAAGCGTTCATCACAAGGGACAATCAGCGCAAAGGGCGACCAGTGAAGAAGTCCTGGCCGTGCCACAATTGCGGAAAGATTGGTCACTGGATGGCGGAGTGCCCCTCGCGCATCCAAGAAAACACGGAGAGACACCGGCCACAGCGTGCTCAAGACAGCGGCGACCGCTATCGATCACAACGTGCAAACGTCGCTCAAGAAGAAGACTCGGGCGACTACCTCTTTTCGATCGGTGAAACGACATCTGCGAAATCGAGCGACATCTGGCTGGTCGACTCCGGGGCGACGCAGCACATGACGTGCTCCAAGAAGTTCATGCGGAACTACAAGGGGTTTGACGCTGTGGATGTCCATCTCGCGGATGATGGAATCGTCCAAGCAATCGGCAGTGGGGACATTGTCATGTCGATGAAGACACCCCAAGGGATGAAGAAAGGTGTGCTCACAAACGTGTGGCACATCCCAAAGTTATCCAGAAACCTGTTCTCGGTCGGCCGCTTCACCAAGGATGTCGGCCCAGTGACGTTCACGAAGGATGGGTGCTATGGAGAAGCGAAAGGGACCAAGTGGAAAATTGGTGCCCGTGAAGGTAAAGGACTGTTCAAGCTGCAAATGACTCCAGTGGCGCCGGAACAAGCAAATGCAGCCAAGTCGTCGGGATGTCAAGGGGGCACCAAGTCGTACCTCTGGCACCTTCGGCTTGGCCACATAGGTCACGATGGACTCAATTGCATCGTGACGAAGAACATTGGAATTGGCATCGACATATCTTCGGTGAAGAAGTGGGACGTGTGTGAAGGTTGTGCTCTGGGAAAACAGACTCGAGTGCGCTTCCAATCAAACACTACAGCTCGCACCTCCAAACTCCTCGAAGTGATTCACAGCGACGTATGCGGACCGATGTCGATGGCAACTTTCAGTGGAAAACGGTACTTCGTGACATTCATTGATGACAAGTCAAGATACTGTGTCGTCTATCTGCTCAAGAGCAAATCTGAAGTTGCGGCGAAGTTCATGGAATACGCTGCGATGGCCGAAACGCAAACCGGAAAGCGCGTGAAGTACCTTCAAAGCGACAATGGGGGTGAATACAAGTCCGACAAGCTGGCACGATTCTGCGCGGAACGGGGAATACAACAAAGGTTCACACCCCCATATACTCCTCAGCTAAACGGAGTAGCTGAGAGAATGAATCGCACGCTGGTCGAGTGTGCGCGTTGCATGATGGAACACGCTGGACTGGGAAAGAGCTACTGGGGTGAAGCAGTGATGACGGCGATGTTTCTTCGAAACCGCTGTCCAACACGTGCCATTCACCAAGACAAGTCTCCATATCAAGTGTGGACGATGAAGAAACCGATTCTGGCCAACCTTAAAGTGTTTGGATGCCACGCGTATGTTCAAGTGCCTCAAGACAAACGCGCGAAGTTCGACTCCAAGTCATCACTCTGTCGTTTCCTGGGATACGCCGAACACCAGAAGTCATATCGATTTGAGGAAGTGTCAACAGGAGCGATCAAGATCAGTCGCGATGCCACATTCATGGAAGACAAGTTTGATGAAGGTCCGCGCAACTACAACGATGAGTCAAGTGTCGTTGAGTTTGATGATCATGATGAGGACGAAGAAAAAGAAGAAGGTAAAACTGACGACGACATGGACTCGAGCGACGATGACAACGAAGACACCAGGTCTTCGAAGAGCAACATCAAGAGACACACGCGCACTCAATCACTTGAGAAAGCTACCGTCATTCCAAGTCCCAAGCGAAGAACATACAGAGGTCCGTCGCTTGAGCATGTGTCAGCGGCTGCAATGGATTTTGAAGCAGCCTACATCGTTGATTCAGTGGGGAAACGCCGACTACATTCAAGTCGGCGATGGAATCAAGCGACTCCGGCAAGTGGAAAGAAGCGTGTGACTCGGAGTTCGACTCGCTTCAGAGAAACGACACGTGGGAAATCGTGCCTCTTCCGAAAGGTCGCAAGGCCATCGGGTGCCGATGGGTTTTTCGTGTAAAGGAGAATCAAGATGGCGAAGTTGAACGTTTCAAGGCAAGACTTGTGGCCAAAGGATTCTCACAGAAATTCGGAGTTGACTATGAAGAAACTTTCGCACCGGTGGCCAAGTTCACATCGATTCGTGTGGTGCTCAGTATGGCGGCTAAGTACGGCCTAATGCTACATCAGATGGACGTCAAGACAGCGTTTCTTAACGGCTCCCTCAACGAAGACATCTACATGGACCAGCCGGACGGATACCTGGATGCAACACAGCCGGACTATGTGTGCAAGCTAAAGAGATCACTCTACGGCTTGAAGCAATCGCCTCGCATGTGGAACCAAACAATCGATGGGTTCATGATCAAGATGGGATTCAAGAAGTGCGAATCGGACCACTGCATCTACATCAAGCGAGACGACCAAGACATGATTCTCGTGGTACTCTACGTCGATGATCTCATCCTGGCCAGCAGCAACAACGAACTCCTCAAGTCAACCAAGATGGCGCTGAGCAAACGCTTCGAAATGACGGATCTCGGTGAGCTCGATTACTTTCTCGGCATGGAGATCAAGAACGACCGTAAGACGGGAATGGTGACTGTACAACAAACCAAGTTCCTCAAGTCCGTGTTAACCAAGTTCGGAATGGATAACAGCAAGCCAGTGAAGACGCCTCAAGATCCCGGCCTGAAGCTAACCAAGAACATGTGTGAACAAGAATGCAAGCACGAAGACACCATGTGCAACGTGCCATATCGAAGTGCTGTCGGAGGCATCATGTATCTCATGGTCGCCACACGTCCGGATCTAGCTGCTGCAGTGGGATCATTATCCCAGTTCTCGTCCGACCCATGCCCGACTCACTGGCAAGCTTTGAAGCGTGTGCTGAGATACCTGCAAGCAACGCCCAATCATGGTCTTGAGTTTACACGTGAAGAAGGAAGCCGTATCTGCGGGTACACCGACGCAGACTGGGCCGGCGACATTGAGTCAAGACGAAGTACAAGCGGCTATGTGTTCATGATGAGCGGAGGATGCATCAGCTGGAAAAGCCAGAAACAACGGACGGTCGCGCTATCTTCAACAGAAGCAGAATACATGGCGCTTTCCGAAGCAACCAAAGAAGCAGTATGGCTCAAAGTGCTTTTGGGGGAACTTGGTGAGATGACAAGCGACGAAGCGATCAAGATGTATGAAGACAACCAAGGATCAATCGCTCTCGCCAAGAACCCGGAGTTCCATAAGAGAACAAAACACATCGACATACGCTACCATTTTGTGCGTGAGAAGGTGGAATCAGGTGAAGTCGTTTTGGAGTATTGCCCGACTCAAGATATGCTGGCAGACATGATGACCAAGCCGATCGCCGCTGTACAATTTGAAAACATTCGCGATCGACTTGGGATCCAAGGTGCCGCAGCTAACGAGTCGAGAGGGAGTGTTGAAAAGACAGCGGCTGTGAAGAAGACACCTCGTCAAGCTGCGTCAAGTGTTGAAGCAAGTGGAAGACCAAGCCTCGCTATACCGGTGGGTACCGGTATGTACCAGTAAGGGCGAAGTCAGGAAATGACGTCACTGGATGACGTCATTGCATGACGTCAGTGGGTGACGTCAGTGGGTGACGTCACTGGATGACGTCACTGCGAATAATAGGCTTAGAGGTAGTATTCAAAGTTGCGAACTAAGTACCTATTATAAATATATATTCACTTTGCGTTTTGCACTCGGACCAAGAAGTCTAAAGTTCATCACCTCAAGACAAACGCGCGAAGTTCGACTCCAAGTCATCACTCTGTCGTTTCCTGGGATACGCCGAACACCAGAAGTCATATCGATTTGAGGAAGTGTCAACAGGAGCGATCAAGATCAGTCGCGATGCCACATTCATGGAAGACAAGTTTGATGAAGGTCCGCGCAACTACAACGATGAGTCAAGTGTCGTTGAGTTTGATGATCATGATGAGGACGAAGAAAAAGAAGAAGGTAAAACTGACGACGACATGGACTCGAGCGACGATGACAACGAAGACACCAGGTCTTCGAAGAGCAACATCAAGAGACACACGCGCACTCAATCACTTGAGAAAGCTACCGTCATTCCAAGTCCCAAGCGAAGAACATACAGAGGTCCGTCGCTTGAGCATGTGTCAGCGGCTGCAATGGATTTTGAAGCAGCCTACATCGTTGATTCAGTGGGGGAAACGCCGACTACATTCAAGTCGGCGATGGAATCAAGCGACTCCGGCAAGTGGAAAGAAGCGTGTGACTCGGAGTTCGATTCGCTTCAGAGAAACGACACGTGGGAAATCGTGCCTCTTCCGAAAGGTCGCAAGGCCATCGGGTGCCGATGGGTTTTTCGTGTAAAGGAGAATCAAGATGGCGAAGTTGAACGTTTCAAGGCAAGACTTGTGGCCAAAGGATTCTCACAGAAATTCGGAGTTGACTATGAAGAAACTTTCGCACCGGTGGCCAAGTTCACATCGATTCGTGTGGTGCTCAGTATGGCGGCTAAGTACGGCCTAATGCTACATCAGATGGACGTCAAGACAGCGTTTCTTAACGGCTCCCTCAACGAAGACATCTACATGGACCAGCCGGACGGATACCTGGATGCAACACAGCCGGACTATGTGTGCAAGCTAAAGAGATCACTCTACGGCTTGAAGCAATCGCCTCGCATGTGGAACCAAACAATCGATGGGTTCATGATCAAGATGGGATTCAAGAAGTGCGAATCGGACCACTGCATCTACATCAAGCGAGACGACCAAGACATGATTCTCGTGGTGCTCTACGTCGATGATCTCATCCTGGCCAGCAGCAACAACGAACTCCTCAAGTCAACCAAGATGGCGCTGAGCAAACGCTTCGAAATGACGGATCTCGGTGAGCTCGATTACTTTCTCGGCATGGAGATCAAGAACGACCGTAAGACGGGAATGGTGACTGTACAACAAACCAAGTTTCTCAAGTCCGTGTTAACCAAGTTCGGAATGGATAACAGCAAGCCAGTGAAGACGCCTCAAGATCCCGGCCTGAAGCTAACCAAGAACATGTGTGAACAAGAATGCAAGCACGAAGACACCATGTGCAACGTGCCATATCGAAGTGCTGTCGGAGGCATCATGTATCTCATGGTCGCCACACGTCCGGATCTAGCTGCTGCAGTGGGATCATTATCCCAGTTCTCGTCCGACCCATGCCCGACTCACTGGCAAGCTTTGAAGCGTGTGCTGAGATACCTGCAAGCAACGCCCAATCATGGTCTTGAGTTTACACGTGAAGAAGGAAGCCGTATCTGCGGGTACACCGACGCAGACTGGGCCGGCGACATTGAGTCAAGACGAAGTACAAGCGGCTATGTGTTCATGATGAGCGGAGGATGCATCAGCTGGAAAAGCCAGAAACAACGGACGGTCGCGCTATCTTCAACAGAAGCAGAATACATGGCGCTTTCCGAAGCAACCAAAGAAGCAGTATGGCTCAAAGTGCTTTTGGGGGAACTTGGTGAGATGACAAGCGACGAAGCGATCAAGATGTATGAAGACAACCAAGGATCAATCGCTCTCGCCAAGAACCCGGAGTTCCATAAGAGAACAAAACACATCGACATACGCTACCATTTTGTGCGTGAGAAGGTGGAATCAGGTGAAGTCGTTTTGGAGTATTGCCCGACTCAAGATATGCTGGCAGACATGATGACCAAGCCGATCGCCGCTGTACAATTTGAAAACATTCGCGATCGACTTGGGATCCAAGGTGCCGCAGCTAACGAGTCGAGAGGGAGTGTTGAAAAGACAGCGGCTGTGAAGAAGACACCTCGTCAAGCTGCGTCAAGTGTTGAAGCAAGTGGAAGACCAAGCTTCGCTATACCGGTGGGTACCGGTATGTACCAGTAAGGGCGAAGTCAGGAAATGACGTCACTGGATGACGTCATTGCATGACGTCAGTGGGTGACGTCAGTGGGTGACGTCACTGGATGACGTCACTGCGAATAATAGGCTTAGAGGTAGTATTCAAAGTTGCGAACTAAGTACCTATTATAAATATATATTCACTTTGCGTTTTGCACTCGGACCAAGAAGTCTAAAGTTCATCAGGTTATGAGCCCAAGTTCGTCAGACTCTGAAACCGCCAACAATTCAAGCTTAGCTGCCATGGACGCCTCCTCCCTCCGCATCTCCAAGTTCGATGGAACTAACTTCCACGCCTGGAAGTTCAAGATGCAGATGGTGCTGGAGGAACGGGACCTATGGGAGGTCGTCAGCGGTGAGATCAAGGCGGAACAGTGCGAGACTCAGTTGGACCAAGCGACGTACAAGAGGAAGTCAAGAAAGGCGATGGCAGTGATCTGTCTAGCCATGGAAGATTCCCAGCTACCGTTGGTCCGGTCGGCAAGTGGTGCATGCGACGCATGGTCAAGGTTGGAAGACCACTTCGAGAAGAAGAGTCTTGCCAACAAGCTGTTCTTGCGCCGTCGCTTCTTCACGACAATGATGGAAGAAGGCGACGATGTGCTCGAACACATCAACAAGCTCAAGACGCTGGCGGAACAGCTAGAAGCGGTGGGGGCTCCAGTCTGCGAGGACGATCTGGTGATCACACTCCTCGGCAGCCTGAGTGACTCGTATCAATTCTTGATCACAGCTTTGGAGTCGCGCTCAGACACTCTTAGCTGGGAGCTCGTGACGTCTCGACTGCTTCATGAAGAAATGAAGCGGAAGGAGCAAGGAAGTAAAGGTGATGAAGCTTCGCAAGGTCAAGCGTTCATCACAAGGGACAATCAGCGCAAAGGGCGACCAGTGAAGAAGTCCTGGCCGTGCCACAATTGCGGAAAGATTGGTCACTGGATGGCGGAGTGCCCCTCGCGCATCCAAGAAAACACGGAGAGACACCGGCCACAGCGTGCTCAAGACAGCGGCGACCGCTATCGATCACAACGTGCAAACGTCGCTCAAGAAGAAGACTCGGGCGACTACCTCTTTTCGATCGGTGAAACGACATCTGCGAAATCGAGCGACATCTGGCTGGTCGACTCCGGGGCGACGCAGCACATGACGTGCTCCAAGAAGTTCATGCGGAACTACAAGGGGTTTGACGCTGTGGATGTCCATCTCGCGGATGATGGAATCGTCCAAGCAATCGGCAGTGGGGACATTGTCATGTCGATGAAGACACCCCAAGGGATGAAGAAAGGTGTGCTCACAAACGTGTGGCACATCCCAAAGTTATCCAGAAACCTGTTCTCGGTCGGCCGCTTCACCAAGGATGTCGGCCCAGTGACGTTCACGAAGGATGGGTGCTATGGAGAAGCGAAAGGGACCAAGTGGAAAATTGGTGCCCGTGAAGGTAAAGGACTGTTCAAGCTGCAAATGACTCCAGTGGCGCCGGAACAAGCAAATGCAGCCAAGTCGTCGGGATGTCAAGGGGGCACCAAGTCGTACCTCTGGCACCTTCGGCTTGGCCACATAGGTCACGATGGACTCAATTGCATCGTGACGAAGAACATTGGAATTGGCATCGACATATCTTCGGTGAAGAAGTGGGACGTGTGTGAAGGTTGTGCTCTGGGAAAACAGACTCGAGTGCGCTTCCAATCAAACACTACAGCTCGCACCTCCAAACTCCTCGAAGTGATTCACAGCGACGTATGCGGACCGATGTCGATGGCAACTTTCAGTGGAAAACGGTACTTCGTGACATTCATTGATGACAAGTCAAGATACTGTGTCGTCTATCTGCTCAAGAGCAAATCTGAAGTTGCGGCGAAGTTCATGGAATACGCTGCGATGGCCGAAACGCAAACCGGAAAGCGCGTGAAGTACCTTCAAAGCGACAATGGGGGTGAATACAAGTCCGACAAGCTGGCACGATTCTGCGCGGAACGGGGAATACAACAAAGGTTCACACCCCCATATACTCCTCAGCTAAACGGAGTAGCTGAGAGAATGAATCGCACGCTGGTCGAGTGTGCGCGTTGCATGATGGAACACGCTGGACTGGGAAAGAGCTACTGGGGTGAAGCAGTGATGACGGCGATGTTTCTTCGAAACCGCTGTCCAACACGTGCCATTCACCAAGGCAAGTCTCCATATCAAGTGTGGACGATGAAGAAACCGATTCTGGCCAACCTTAAAGTGTTTGGATGCCACGCGTATGTTCAAGTGCCTCAAGACAAACGCGCGAAGTTCGACTCCAAGTCATCACTCTGTCGTTTCCTGGGATACGCCGAACACCAGAATGTTGTAAGTGCATGATGCACTGGATTCGACTCCAGAGATTCGACCCATGATAGGGTATGTCTAGAATGTTCTTTAGGGTTCTATGCATTATTATAGGTCGTACGGCAGCTAGACGTATGGATAGTTCTCACTTGTAGATTGACAAACCACTGATGAGGCCCCCGGCGGGGGGCCGAAACGCGTCTGGTGCGCGGTAATATACAAGTCATTTACTTTACTTAACTCCTACTTCTTACAGGTTATGAGCCCAAGTGCTCGCTGCAGACACCTCACCAAGGACCAACTTGTGCGAGGGACACCCCGTCAGAGAAGGCGCTCGATGCACGAGTAAGGCGCCGAAGAATTCATCGACAGGGATCGTTGACGGTGCGCGTGCAGTCGAAAAGGGTTTGTGCAAGGGTGGTGACGCGAGATGGTCTGAATGCGCGAGTGCTATCGAAGGAAGGGTCAAGTCGAGTGGTGACAAGTGTATTTGTGGTCAAGAAGAAGTGGAAACTACATGCAAGGCGAACGACGACTACGAGATGTCAAGATGTGACATGGTGCTGGACGATGGGGGAGCTGGAATACCTGGAACGCTCTGATGAACTTTAGACTTCTTGGTCCGAGTGCAAAACGCAAAGTGAATATATATTTATAATAGGTACTTAGTTCGCAACTTTGAATACTACCTCTAAGCCTATTATTCGCAGTGACGTCATCCAGTGACGTCACCCACTGACGTCACCCACTGACGTCATGCAATGACGTCATCCAGTGACGTCATTTCCTGACTTCGCCCTTACTGGTACATACCGGTACCCACTGGTATAGCGAAGCTTGGTCTTCCACTTGCTTCAACACTTGACGCAGCTTGACGAGGTGTCTTCTTCACAGCCGCTGTCTTTTCAACACTCCCTCTCGACTCGTTAGCTGCGGCACCTTGGATCCCAAGTCGATCGCGAATGTTTTCAAATTGTACAGCGGCGATCGGCTTGGTCATCATGTCTGCCAGCATATCTTGAGTCGGGCAATACTCCAAAACGACTTCACCTGATTCCACCTTCTCACGCACAAAATGGTAGCGTATGTCGATGTGTTTTGTTCTCTTATGGAACTCCGGGTTCTTGGCGAGAGCGATTGATCCTTGGTTGTCTTCATACATCTTGATCGCTTCGTCGCTTGTCATCTCACCAAGTTCCCCCAAAAGCACTTTGAGCCATACTGCTTCTTTGGTTGCTTCGGAAAGCGCCATGTATTCTGCTTCTGTTGAAGATAGCGCGACCGTCCGTTGTTTCTGGCTTTTCCAGCTGATGCATCCTCCGCTCATCATGAACACATAGCCGCTTGTACTTCGTCTTGACTCAATGTCGCCGGCCCAGTCTGCGTCGGTGTACCCGCAGATACGGCTTCCTTCTGCACGTGTAAACTCAAGACCATGATTGGGCGTTGCTTGCAGGTATCTCAGCACACGCTTCAAAGCTTGCCAGTGAGTCGGGCATGGGTCGGACGAGAACTGGGATAATGATCCCACTGCAGCAGCTAGATCCGGACGTGTGGCGACCATGAGATACATGATGCCTCCGACAGCACTTCGATATGGCACGTTGCACATGGTGTCTTCGTGCTTGCATTCTTGTTCACACATGTTCTTGGTTAGCTTCAGGCCGGGATCTTGAGGCGTCTTCACTGGCTTGCTGTTATCCATTCCGAACTTGGTCAACACGGACTTGAGAAACTTGGTTTGTTGTACAGTCACCATTCCCGTCTTACGGTCGTTCTTGATCTCCATGCCGAGAAAGTAATCGAGCTCACCGAGATCCGTCATTTCGAAGCGTTTGCTCAGCGCCATCTTGGTCGACTTGAGGAGTTCGTTGTTGCTGCTGGCCAGGATGAGATCATCGACGTAGAGCACCACGAGAATCATGTCTTGGTCGTCTCGCTTGATGTAGATGCAGTGGTCCGATTCGCACTTCTTGAATCCCATCTTGATCATGAACCCATCGATTGTTTGGTTCCACATGCGAGGCGATTGCTTCAAGCCGTAGAGTGATCTCTTTAGCTTGCACACATAGTCCGGCTGTGTTGCATCCAGGTATCCGTCCGGCTGGTCCATGTAGATGTCTTCGTTGAGGGAGCCGTTAAGAAACGCTGTCTTGACGTCCATCTGATGTAGCATTAGGCCGTACTTAGCCGCCATACTGAGCACCACACGAATCGATGTGAACTTGGCCACCGGTGCGAAAGTTTCTTCATAGTCAACTCCGAATTTCTGTGAGAATCCTTTGGCCACAAGTCTTGCCTTGAAACGTTCAACTTCGCCATCTTGATTCTCCTTTACACGAAAAACCCATCGGCACCCGATGGCCTTGCGACCTTTCGGAAGAGGCACGATTTCCCACGTGTCGTTTCTCTGAAGCGAGTCGAACTCCGAGTCACACGCTTCTTTCCACTTGCCGGAGTCGCTTGATTCCATCGCCGACTTGAATGTAGTCGGCGTTTCCCCCACTGAATCAACGATGTAGGCTGCTTCAAAATCCATTGCAGCCGCTGACACATGCTCAAGCGACGGACCTCTGTATGTTCTTCGCTTGGGACTTGGAATGACGGTAGCTTTCTCAAGTGATTGAGTGCGCGTGTGTCTCTTGATGTTGCTCTTCGAAGACCTGGTGTCTTCGTTGTCATCGTCGCTCGAGTCCATGTCGTCGTCAGTTTTACCTTCTTCTTTTTCTTCGTCCTCATCATGATCATCAAACTCAACGACACTTGACTCATCGTTGTAGTTGCGCGGACCTTCATCAAACTTGTCTTCCATGAATGTGGCATCGCGACTGATCTTGATCGCTCCTGTTGACACTTCCTCAAATCGATATGACTTCTGGTGTTCGGCGTATCCCAGGAAACGACAGAGTGATGACTTGGAGTCGAACTTCGCGCGTTTGTCTTGAGGCACTTGAACATACGCGTGGCATCCAAAAACTTTAAGGTTGGCCAGAATCGGTTTCTTCATCGTCCACACTTGATATGGAGACTTGTCTTGGTGAATGGCACGTGTTGGACAGCGGTTTCGAAGAAACATCGCCGTCATCACTGCTTCACCCCAGTAGCTCTTTCCCAGTCCAGCGTGTTCCATCATGCAACGCGCACACTCGACCAGCGTGCGATTCATTCTCTCAGCTACTCCGTTTAGCTGAGGAGTATATGGGGGTGTGAACCTTTGTTGTATTCCCCGTTCCGCGCAGAATCGTGCCAGCTTGTCGGACTTGTATTCACCCCCATTGTCGCTTTGAAGGTACTTCACGCGCTTTCCGGTTTGCGTTTCGGCCATCGCAGCGTATTCCATGAACTTCGCCGCAACTTCAGATTTGCTCTTGAGCAGATAGACGACACAGTATCTTGACTTGTCATCAATGAATGTCACGAAGTACCGTTTTCCACTGAAAGTTGCCATCGACATCGGTCCGCATACGTCGCTGTGAATCACTTCGAGGAGTTTGGAGGTGCGAGCTGTAGTGTTTGATTGGAAGCGCACTCGAGTCTGTTTTCCCAGAGCACAACCTTCACACACGTCCCACTTCTTCACCGAAGATATGTCGATGCCAATTCCAATGTTCTTCGTCACGATGCAATTGAGTCCATCGTGACCTATGTGGCCAAGCCGAAGGTGCCAGAGGTACGACTTGGTGCCCCCTTGACATCCCGACGACTTGGCTGCATTTGCTTGTTCCGGCGCCACTGGAGTCATTTGCAGCTTGAACAGTCCTTTACCTTCACGGGCACCAATTTTCCACTTGGTCCCTTTCGCTTCTCCATAGCACCCATCCTTCGTGAACGTCACTGGGCCGACATCCTTGGTGAAGCGGCCGACCGAGAACAGGTTTCTGGATAACTTTGGGATGTGCCACACGTTTGTGAGCACACCTTTCTTCATCCCTTGGGGTGTCTTCATCGACATGACAATGTCCCCACTGCCGATTGCTTGGACGATTCCATCATCCGCGAGATGGACATCCACAGCGTCAAACCCCTTGTAGTTCCGCATGAACTTCTTGGAGCACGTCATGTGCTGCGTCGCCCCGGAGTCGACCAGCCAGATGTCGCTCGATTTCGCAGATGTCGTTTCACCGATCGAAAAGAGGTAGTCGCCCGAGTCTTCTTCTTGAGCGACGTTTGCACGTTGTGATCGATAGCGGTCGCCGCTGTCTTGAGCACGCTGTGGCCGGTGTCTCTCCGTGTTTTCTTGGATGCGCGAGGGGCACTCCGCCATCCAGTGACCAATCTTTCCGCAATTGTGGCACGGCCAGGACTTCTTCACTGGTCGCCCTTTGCGCTGATTGTCCCTTGTGATGAACGCTTGACCTTGCGAAGCTTCATCACCTTTACTTCCTTGCTCCTTCCGCTTCATTTCTTCATGAAGCAGTCGAGACGTCACGAGCTCCCAGCTAAGAGTGTCTGAGCGCGACTCCAAAGCTGTGATCAAGAATTGATACGAGTCACTCAGGCTGCCGAGGAGTGTGATCACCAGATCGTCCTCGCAGACTGGAGCCCCAACCGCTTCTAGCTGTTCCGCCAGCGTCTTGAGCTTGTTGATGTGTTCGAGCACATCGTCGCCTTCTTCCATCATTGTCGTGAAGAAGCGACGGCGCAAGAACAGCTTGTTGGCAAGACTCTTCTTCTCGAAGTGGTCTTCCAACCTTGACCATGCGTCGCATGCACCACTTGCCGACCGGACCAACGGTAGCTGGGAATCTTCCATGGCTAGACAGATCACTGCCATCGCCTTTCTTGACTTCCTCTTGTACGTCGCTTGGTCCAACTGAGTCTCGCACTGTTCCGCCTTGATCTCACCGCTGACGACCTCCCATAGGTCCCGTTCCTCCAGCACCATCTGCATCTTGAACTTCCAGGCGTGGAAGTTAGTTCCATCGAACTTGGAGATGCGGAGGGAGGAGGCGTCCATGGCAGCTAAGCTTGAATTGTTGGCGGTTTCAGAGTCTGACGAACTTGGGCTCATAACCTGATGAACTTTAGACTTCTTGGTCCGAGTGCAAAACGCAAAGTGAATATATATTTATAATAGGTACTTAGTTCGCAACTTTGAATACTACCTCTAAGCCTATTATTCGCAGTGACGTCATCCAGTGACGTCACCCACTGACGTCACCCACTGACGTCATGCAATGACGTCATCCAGTGACGTCATTTCCTGACTTCGCCCTTACTGGTACATACCGGTACCCACTGGTATAGCGAAGCTTGGTCTTCCACTTGCTTCAACACTTGACGCAGCTTGACGAGGTGTCTTCTTCACAGCCGCTGTCTTTTCAACACGCTCGGTATCATCGAGGTTGGCTGGAGCGCAGGGGCAAGACTCAATCAAGATTCCCATGGTGCACGGATGCAGCAGTGAGGATTACAGGCGGGTCGATACCAAAGTGGTCTGCATCTCATGTCGTCGAGGGGGAGTGTTGTAAGTGCATGATGCACTGGATTCGACTCCAGAGATTCGACCCATGATAGGGTATGTCTAGAATGTTCTTTAGGGTTCTATGCATTATTATAGGTCGTACGGCAGCTAGACGTATGGATAGTTCTCACTTGTAGATTGACAAACCACTGATGAGGCCCCCGGCGGGGGGCCGAAACGCGTCTGGTGCGCGGTAATATACAAGTCATTTACTTTACTTAACTCCTACTTCTTACAGGTTATGAGCCCAAGTGCTCGCTGCAGACACCTCACCAAGGACCAACTTGTGCGAGGGACACCCCGTCAGAGAAGGCGCTCGATGCACGAGTAAGGCGCCGAAGAATTCATCGACAGGGATCGTTGACGGTGCGCGTGCAGTCGAAAAGGGTTTGTGCAAGGGTGGTGACGCGAGATGGTCTGAATGCGCGAGTGCTATCGAAGGAAGGGTCAAGTCGAGTGGTGACAAGTGTATTTGTGGTCAAGAAGAAGTGGAAACTACATGCAAGGCGAACGACGACTACGAGATGTCAAGATGTGACATGGTGCTGGACGATGGGGGAGCTGGAATACCTGGAACGCTCGGTATCATCGAGGTTGGCTGGAGCGCAGGGGCAAGACTCAATCAAGATTCCCATGGTGCACGGATGCAGCAGTGAGGATTACAGGCGGGTCGATACCAAAGTGGTCTGCATCTCATGTCGTCGAGGGGGAGTGTTGTAAGTGCATGATGCACTGGATTCGACTCCAGAGATTCGACCCATGATAGGGTATGTCTAGAATGTTCTTTAGGGTTCTATGCATTATTATAGGTCGTACGGCAGCTAGACGTATGGATAGTTCTCACTTGTAGATTGACAAACCACTGATGAGGCCCCCGGCGGGGGGCCGAAACGCGTCTGGTGCGCGGTAATATACAAGTCATTTACTTTACTTAACTCCTACTTCTTACAGGTTATGAGCCCAAGTGCTCGCTGCAGACACCTCACCAAGGACCAACTTGTGCGAGGGACACCCCCGTCAGAGAAGGCGCTCGATGCACGAGTAAGGCGCCGAAGAATTCATCGACAGGGATCGTTGACGGTGCGCGTGCAGTCGAAAAGGGTTTGTGCAAGGGTGGTGACGCGAGATGGTCTGAATGCGCGAGTGCTATCGAAGGAAGAGTCAAGTCAAGTGGTGACAAGTGTATTTGTGGTCAAGAAGAAGTGGAAACTACATGCAAGGCGAACGACGACTACGAGATGTCAAGATGTGACATGGTGCTGGACGATGGGGGAGCTGGAATACCTGGAACGCTCGGTATCATCGAGGTTGGCTGGAGCGCAGGGGCAAGACTCAATCAAGATTCCCATGGTGCACGGATGCAGCAGTGAGGATTACAGGCGGGTCGATACCAAAGTGGTCTGCATCTCATGTCGTCGAGGGGGAGTGTTGTAAGTGCATGATGCACTGGATTCGACTCCAGAGATTCGACCCATGATAGGGTATGTCTAGAATGTTCTTTAGGGTTCTATGCATTATTATAGGTCGTACGGCAGCTAGACGTATGGATAGTTCTCACTTGTAGATTGACAAACCACTGATGAGGCCCCCGGCGGGGGGCCGAAACGCGTCTGGTGCGCGGTAATATACAAGTCATTTACTTTACTTAACTCCTACTTCTTACAGGTTATGAGCCCAAGTGCTCGCTGCAGACACCTCACCAAGGACCAACTTGTGCGAGGGACACCCCGTCAGAGAAGGCGCTCGATGCACGAGTAAGGCGCCGAAGAATTCATCGACAGGGATCGTTGACGGTGCGCGTGCAGTCGAAAAGGGTTTGTGCAAGGGTGGTGACGCGAGATGGTCTGAATGCGCGAGTGCTATCGAAGGAAGGGTCAAGTCGAGTGGTGACAAGTGTATTTGTGGTCAAGAAGAAGTGGAAACTACATGCAAGGCGAACGACGACTACGAGATGTCAAGATGTGACATGGTGCTGGACGATGGGGGAGCTGGAATTGATGAACTTTAGACTTCTTGGTCCGAGTGCAAAACGCAAAGTGAATATATATTTATAATAGGTACTTAGTTCGCAACTTTGAATACTACCTCTAAGCCTATTATTCGCAGTGACGTCATCCAGTGACGTCACCCACTGACGTCACCCACTGACGTCATGCAATGACGTCATCCAGTGACGTCATTTCCTGACTTCGCCCTTACTGGTACATACCGGTACCCACCGGTATAGCGAAGCTTGGTCTTCCACTTGCTTCAACACTTGACGCAGCTTGACGAGGTGTCTTCTTCACAGCCGCTGTCTTTTCAACACTCCCTCTCGACTCGTTAGCTGCGGCACCTTGGATCCCAAGTCGATTGCGAATGTTTTCAAATTGTACAGCGGCGATCGGCTTGGTCATCATGTCTGCCAGCATATCTTGAGTCGGGCAATACTCCAAAACGACTTCACCTGATTCCACCTTCTCACGCACAAAATGGTAGCGTATGTCGATGTGTTTTGTTCTCTTATGGAACTCCGGGTTCTTGGCGAGAGCGATTGATCCTTGGTTGTCTTCATACATCTTGATCGCTTCGTCGCTTGTCATCTCACCAAGTTCCCCCAAAAGCACTTTGAGCCATACTGCTTCTTTGGTTGCTTCGGAAAGCGCCATGTATTCTGCTTCTGTTGAAGATAGCGCGACCGTCCGTTGTTTCTGGCTTTTCCAGCTGATGCATCCTCCGCTCATCATGAACACATAGCCGCTTGTACTTCGTCTTGACTCAATGTCGCCGGCCCAGTCTGCGTCGGTGTACCCGCAGATACGGCTTCCTTCTTCACGTGTAAACTCAAGACCATGATTGGGCGTTGCTTGCAGGTATCTCAGCACACGCTTCAAAGCTTGCCAGTGAGTCGGGCATGGGTCGGACGAGAACTGGGATAATGATCCCACTGCAGCAGCTAGATCCGGACGTGTGGCGACCATGAGATACATGATGCCTCCGACAGCACTTCGATATGGCACGTTGCACATGGTGTCTTCGTGCTTGCATTCTTGTTCACACATGTTCTTGGTTAGCTTCAGGCCGGGATCTTGAGGCGTCTTCACTGGCTTGCTGTTATCCATTCCGAACTTGGTTAACACGGACTTGAGAAACTTGGTTTGTTGTACAGTCACCATTCCCGTCTTACGGTCGTTCTTGATCTCCATGCCGAGAAAGTAATCGAGCTCACCGAGATCCGTCATTTCGAAGCGTTTGCTCAGCGCCATCTTGGTTGACTTGAGGAGTTCGTTGTTGCTGCTGGCCAGGATGAGATCATCGACGTAGAGCACCACGAGAATCATGTCTTGGTCGTCTCGCTTGATGTAGATGCAGTGGTCCGATTCGCACTTCTTGAATCCCATCTTGATCATGAACCCATCGATTGTTTGGTTCCACATGCGAGGCGATTGCTTCAAGCCGTAGAGTGATCTCTTTAGCTTGCACACATAGTCCGGCTGTGTTGTATCCAGGTATCCGTCCGGCTGGTCCATGTAGATGTCTTCGTTGAGGGAGCCGTTAAGAAACGCTGTCTTGACGTCCATCTGATGTAGCATTAGGCCGTACTTAGCCGCCATACTGAGCACCACACGAATCGATGTGAACTTGGCCACCGGTGCGAAAGTTTCTTCATAGTCAACTCCAAATTTCTGTGAGAATCCTTTGGCCACAAGTCTTGCCTTGAAACGTTCAACTTCGCCATCTTGATTCTCCTTTACACGAAAAACCCATCGGCACCCGATGGCCTTGCGACCTTTCGGAAGAGGCACGATTTCCCACGTGTCGTTTCTCTGAAGCGAATCGAACTCCGAGTCACACGCTTCTTTCCACTTGCCGGAGTCGCTTGATTCCATCGCCGACTTGAATGTAGTCGGCGTTTCCCCACTGAATCAACGATGTAGGCTGCTTCAAAATCCATTGCAGCCGCTGACACATGCTCAAGCGACGGACCTCTGTATGTTCTTCGCTTGGGACTTGGAATGACGGTAGCTTTCTCAAGTGATTGAGTGCGCGTGTGTCTCTTGATGTTGCTCTTCGAAGACCTGGTGTCTTCGTTGTCATCGTCGCTCGAGTCCATGTCGTCGTCAGTTTTACCTTCTTCTTTTTTCTTCGTCCTCATCATGATCATCAAACTCAACGACACTTGACTCATCGTTGTAGTTGCGCGGACCTTCATCAAACTTGTCTTCCATGAATGTGGCATCGCGACTGATCTTGATCGCTCCTGTTGACACTTCCTCAAATCGATATGACTTCTGGTGTTCGGCGTATCCCAGGAAACGACAGAGTGATGACTTGGAGTCGAACTTCGCGCGTTTGTCTTGAGGCACTTGAACATACGCGTGGCATCCAAACACTTTAAGGTTGGCCAGAATCGGTTTCTTCATCGTCCACACTTGATATGGAGACTTGTCTTGGTGAATGGCACGTGTTGGACAGCGGTTTCGAAGAAACATCGCCGTCATCACTGCTTCACCCCAGTAGCTCTTTCCCAGTCCAGCGTGTTCCATCATGCAACGCGCACACTCGACCAGCGTGCGATTCATTCTCTCAGCTACTCCGTTTAGCTGAGGAGTATATGGGGGTGTGAACCTTTGTTGTATTCCCCGTTCCGCGCAGAATCGTGCCAGCTTGTCGGACTTGTATTCACCCCCATTGTCGCTTTGAAGGTACTTCACGCGCTTTCCGGTTTGCGTTTCGGCCATCGCAGCGTATTCCATGAACTTCGCCGCAACTTCAGATTTGCTCTTGAGCAGATAGACGACACAGTATCTTGACTTGTCATCAATGAATGTCACGAAGTACCGTTTTCCACTGAAAGTTGCCATCGACATCGGTCCGCATACGTCGCTGTGAATCACTTCGAGGAGTTTGGAGGTGCGAGCTGTATTGTTTGATTGGAAGCGCACTCGAGTCTGTTTTCCCAGAGCACAACCTTCACACACGTCCCACTTCTTCACCGAAGATATGTCGATGCCAATTCCAATGTTCTTCGTCACGATGCAATTGAGTCCATCGTGACCTATGTGGCCAAGCCGAAGGTGCCAGAGGTACGACTTGGTGCCCCCTTGACATCCCGACGACTTGGCTGCATTTGCTTGTTCCGGCGCCACTGGAGTCATTTGCAGCCTGAACAGTCCTTTACCTTCACGGGCACCAATTTTCCACTTGGTCCCTTTCGCTTCTCCATAGCACCCATCCTTCGTGAACGTCACTGGGCCGACATCCTTGGTGAAGCGGCCGACCGAGAACAGGTTTCTGGATAACTTTGGGATGTGCCACACGTTTGTGAGCACACCTTTCTTCATCCCTTGGGGTGTCTTCATCGACATGACAATGTCCCCACTGCCGATTGCTTGGACGATTCCATCATCCGCGAGATGGACATACACAGCGTCAAACCCCTTGTAGTTCCGCATGAACTTCTTGGAGCACGTCATGTGCTGCGTCGCCCCGGAGTCGACCAGCCAGATGTCGCTCGATTTCGCAGATGTCGTTTCACCGATCGAAAAGAGGTAGTCGCCCGAGTCTTCTTCTTGAGCGACGTTTGCACGTTGTGATCGATAGCGGTCGCCGCTGTCTTGAGCACGCTGTGGCCGGTGTCTCTCCGTGTTTTCTTGGATGCGCGAGGGGCACTCCGCCATCCAGTGACCAATCTTTCCGCAATTGTGGCACGGCCAGGACTTCTTCACTGGTCGCCCTTTGCGCTGATTGTCCCTTGTGATGAACGCTTGACCTTGCGAAGCTTCATCACCTTTACTTCCTTGCTCCTTCCGCTTCATTTCTTCATGAAGCAGTCGAGACGTCACGAGCTCCCAGCTAAGAGTGTCTGAGCGCGACTCCAAAGCTGTGATCAAGAATTGATACGAGTCACTCAGGCTGCCGAGGAGTGTGATCACCAGATCGTCCTCGCAGACTGGAGCCCCCACCGCTTCTAGCTGTTCCGCCAGCGTCTTGAGCTTGTTGATGTGTTCTAGCACATCGTCGCCTTCTTCCATCATTGTCGTGAAGAAGCGACGGCGCAAGAACAGCTTGTTGGCAAGACTCTTCTTCTCGAAGTGGTCTTCCAACCTTGACCATGCGTCGCATGCACCACTTGCCGACCGGACCAACGGTAGCTGGGAATCTTCCATGGCTAGACAGATCACTGCCATCGCCTTTCTTGACTTCCTCTTGTACGTCGCTTGGTCCAACTGAGTCTCGCACTGTTCCGCCTTGATCTCACCGCTGACGACCTCCCATAGGTCCCGTTCCTCCAGCACCATCTGCATCTTGAACTTCCAGGCGTGGAAGTTAGTTCCATCGAACTTGGAGATGCGGAGGGAGGAGGCGTCCATGGCAGCTAAGCTTGAATTGTTGGCGGTTTCAGAGTCTGACGAACTTGGGCTCATAACCTGATGAACTTTAGACTTCTTGGTCCGAGTGCAAAACGCAAAGTGAATATATATTTATAATAGGTACTTAGTTCGCAACTTTGAATACTACCTCTAAGCCTATTATTCGCAGTGACGTCATCCAGTGACGTCATTCACTGACGTCACCCACTGACGTCATGCAATGACGTCATCCAGTGACGTCATTTCCTGACTTCGCCCTTACTGGTACATACCGGTACCCACCGGTATAGCGAAGCTTGGTCTTCCACTTGCTTCAACACTTGACGCAGCTTGACGAGGTGTCTTCTTCACAGCCGCTGTCTTTTCAACAGGAATACCTGGAACGCTCGGTATCATCGAGGTTGGCTGGAGCGCAGGGGCAAGACTCAATCAAGATTCCCATGGTGCACGGATGCAGCAGTGAGGATTACAGGCGGGTCGATACCAAAGTGGTCTGCATCTCATGTCGTCGAGGGGGAGTGTTGTAAGTGCATGATGCACTGGATTCGACTCCAGAGATTCGACCCATGATAGGGTATGTCTAGAATGTTCTTTAGGGTTCTATGCATTATTATAGGTCGTACGGCAGCTAGACGTATGGATAGTTCTCACTTGTAGATTGACAAACCACTGATGAGGCCCCCGGCGGGGGGCCGAAACGCGTCTGGTGCGCGGTAATATACAAGTCATTTACTTTACTTAACTCCTACTTCTTACACAGAAGTCATATCGATTTGAGGAAGTGTCAACAGGAGCGATCAAGATCAGTCGCGATGCCACATTCATGGAAGACAAGTTTGATGAAGGTCCGCGCAACTACAACGATGAGTCAAGTGTCGTTGAGTTTGATGATCATGATGAGGACGAAGAAAAAGAAGAAGGTAAAACTGACGACGACATGGACTCGAGCGACGATGACAACGAAGACACCAGGTCTTCGAAGAGCAACATCAAGAGACACACGCGCACTCAATCACTTGAGAAAGCTACCGTCATTCAAGTCCCAAGCGAAGAACATACAGAGGTCCGTCGCTTGAGCATGTGTCAGCGGCTGCAATGGATTTTGAAGCAGCCTACATCGTTGATTCAGTGGGGGAAACGCCGACTACATTCAAGTCGGCGATGGAATCAAGCGACTCCGGCAAGTGGAAAGAAGCGTGTGACTCGGAGTTCGATTCGCTTCAGAGAAACGACACGTGGGAAATCGTGCCTCTTCCGAAAGGTCGCAAGGCCATCGGGTGCCGATGGGTTTTTCGTGTAAAGGAGAATCAAGATGGCGAAGTTGAACGTTTCAAGGCAAGACTTGTGGCCAAAGGATTCTCACAGAAATTCGGAGTTGACTATGAAGAAACTTTCGCACCGGTGGCCAAGTTCACATCGATTCGTGTGGTGCTCAGTATGGCGGCCAAGTACGGCCTAATGCTACATCAGATGGACGTCAAGACAGCGTTTCTTAACGGCTCCCTCAACGAAGACATCTACATGGACCAGCCGGACGGATACCTGGATGCAACACAGCCGGACTATGTGTGCAAGCTAAAGAGATCACTCTACGGCTTGAAGCAATCGCCTCGCATGTGGAACCAAACAATCGATGGGTTCATGATCAAGATGGGATTCAAGAAGTGCGAATCGGACCACTGCATCTACATCAAGCGAGACGACCAAGACATGATTCTCGTGGTGCTCTACGTCGATGATCTCATCCTGGCCAGCAGCAACAACGAACTCCTCAAGTCAACCAAGATGGCGCTGAGCAAACGCTTCGAAATGACGGATCTCGGTGAGCTCGATTACTTTCTCGGCATGGAGATCAAGAACGACCGTAAGACGGGAATGGTGACCGTACAACAAACCAAGTTTCTCAAGTCCGTGTTAACCAAGTTCGGAATGGATAACAGCAAGCCAGTGAAGACGCCTCAAGATCCCGGCCTGAAGCTAACCAAGAACATGTGTGAACAAGAATGCAAGCACGAAGACACCATGTGCAACGTGCCATATCGAAGTGCTGTCGGAGGCATCATGTATCTCATGGTCGCCACACGTCCGGATCTAGCTGCTGCAGTGGGATCATTATCCCAGTTCTCGTCCGACCCATGCCCGACTCACTGGCAAGCTTTGAAGCGTGTGCTGAGATACCTGCAAGCAACGCCCAATCATGGTCTTGAGTTTACACGTGAAGAAGGAAGCCGTATCTGCGGGTACACCGACGCAGACTGGGCCGGCGACATTGAGTCAAGACGAAGTACAAGCGGCTATGTGTTCATGATGAGCGGAGGATGCATCAGCTGGAAAAGCCAGAAACAACGGACGGTCGCGCTATCTTCAACAGAAGCAGAATACATGGCGCTTTCCGAAGCAACCAAAGAAGCAGTATGGCTCAAAGTGCTTTTGGGGAACTTGGTGAGATGACAAGCGACGAAGCGATCAAGATGTATGAAGACAACCAAGGATCAATCGCTCTCGCCAAGAACCCGGAGTTCCATAAGAGAACAAAACACATCGACATACGCTACCATTTTGTGCGTGAGAAGGTGGAATCAGGTGAAGTCGTTTTGGAGTATTGCCCGACTCAAGATATGCTGGCAGACATGATGACCAAGCCGATCGCCGCTGTACAATTTGAAAACATTCGCGATCGACTTGGGATCCAAGGTGCCGCAGCTAACGAGTCGAGAGGGAGTGTTGAAAAGACAGCGGCTGTGAAGAAGACACCTCGTCAAGCTGCGTCAAGTGTTGAAGCAAGTGGAAGACCAAGCTTCGCTATACCGGTGGGTACCGGTATGTACCAGTAGGGGCGAAGTCAGGAAATGACGTCAGTGGGTGACGTCAGTGGGTGACGTCACTGGATGACGTCACTGCGAATAATAGGCTTAGAGGTAGTATTCAAAGTTGCGAACTAAGTACCTATTATAAATATATATTCACTTTGCGTTTTGCACTCGGACCAAGAAGTCTAAAGTTCATCAATACTGGTAGAAAACCGATGACCGTCAACACGCCCCCTCAATCCGAATGCTCACGAATCCCGAGAGTCGCCGTCATCTCCTTGTGGCGTGGCCCGTGAAGTCCCTTCGTCATGATGTCCGCTAACATCACCGCAGTTTCACAGTACTTGAGCTTCACTTCACCGCGCTTGACCTCATCACGGATGTGATGGTACTTGATATCAATGTGCTTGGCACGGCCGTGGTTGACTGGGTTCTTCGTCATCTTGATACACGACTGATTGTCTTCATGGATCATGAGTTCCGGTCCTTCTTCATTGGCAGCCATCACGATCTCACAAAGCAGACGATGAATCCACTTGCCCTCTTGAATCGCCAAGCTGAGTGCGATGTATTCGGCTTCACTCGTGGACAACGAAACACTTGGCTGCTTCTTGCTGCCCCAACTGACTGGCGCACCGAGTAGCATGAACGTGTACCCCGATGTTGACTTGCGGTCGGTAAGATCACCAGCCCAATCCGCATCCGAATATCCACGGAAGTCGATCCTTGCACTTGGCTTGTAGCAAATTCCATGCGTCTTGGTGCCTTGTAGGTAGCGAAAGATACGCTTAACTGCAACCCAGTGTTCTTCTTGGGGATTTTCCATGAACCGCGTGATGAACTTTAGACTTCTTGGTCCGAGTGCAAAACGCAAAGTGAATATATATTTATAATAGGTACTTAGTTCGCAACTTTGAATACTACCTCTAAGCCTATTATTCGCAGTGACGTCATCCAGTGACGTCACCCACTGACGTCATGCAATGACGTCATCCAGTGACGTCATTTCCTGACTTCGCCCTTACTGGTACATACCGGTACCCACCGGTATAGCGAAGCTTGGTCTTCCACTTGCTTCAACACTTGACGCAGCTTGACGAGGTGTCTTCTTCACAGCCGCTGTCTTTTCAACACTCCCTCTCGACTCGTTAGCTGCGGCACCTTGGATCCCAAGTCGATCGCGAATGTTTTCAAATTGTACAGCGGCGATCGGCTTGGTCATCATGTCTGCCAGCATATCTTGAGTCGGGCAATACTCCAAAACGACTTCACCTGATTCCACCTTCTCACGCACAAAATGGTAGCGTATGTCGATGTGTTTTGTTCTCTTATGGAACTCCGGGTTCTTGGCGAGAGCGATTGATCCTTGGTTGTCTTCATACATCTTGATCGCTTCGTCGCTTGTCATCTCACCAAGTTCCCCCAAAAGCACTTTGAGCCATACTGCTTCTTTGGTTGCTTCGGAAAGCGCCATGTATTCTGCTTCTGTTGAAGATAGCGCGACCGTCCGTTGTTTCTGGCTTTTCCAGCTGATGCATCCTCCGCTCATCATGAACACATAGCCGCTTGTACTTCGTCTTGACTCAATGTCGCCGGCCCAGTCTGCGTCGGTGTACCCGCAGATACGGCTTCCTTCTTCACGTGTAAACTCAAGACCATGATTGGGCGTTGCTTGCAGGTATCTCAGCACACGCTTCAAAGCTTGCCAGTGAGTCGGGCATGGGTCGGACGAGAACTGGGATAATGATCCCACTGCAGCAGCTAGATCCGGACGTGTGGCGACCATGAGATACATGATGCCTCCGACAGCACTTCGATATGGCACGTTGCACATGGTGTCTTCGTGCTTGCATTCTTGTTCACACATGTTCTTGGTTAGCTTCAGGCCGGGATCTTGAGGCGTCTTCACTGGCTTGCTGTTATCCATTCCGAACTTGGTTAACACGGACTTGAGAAACTTGGTTTGTTGTACAGTCACCATTCCCGTCTTACGGTCGTTCTTGATCTCCATGCCGAGAAAGTAATCGAGCTCACCGAGATCCGTCATTTCGAAGCGTTTGCTCAGCGCCATCTTGGTTGACTTGAGGAGTTCGTTGTTGCTGCTGGCCAGGATGAGATCATCGACGTAGAGCACCACGAGAATCATGTCTTGGTCGTCTCGCTTGATGTAGATGCAGTGGTCCGATTCGCACTTCTTGAATCCCATCTTGATCATGAACCCATCGATTGTTTGGTTCCACATGCGAGGCGATTGCTTCAAGCCGTAGAGTGATCTCTTTAGCTTGCACACATAGTCCGGCTGTGTTGCATCCAGGTATCCGTCCGGCTGGTCCATGTAGATGTCTTCGTTGAGGGAGCCGTTAAGAAACGCTGTCTTGACGTCCATCTGATGTAGCATTAGGCCGTACTTAGCCGCCATACTGAGCACCACACGAATCGATGTGAACTTGGCCACCGGTGCGAAAGTTTCTTCATAGTCAACTCCGAATTTCTGTGAGAATCCTTTGGCCACAAGTCTTGCCTTGAAACGTTCAACTTCGCCATCTTGATTCTCCTTTACACGAAAAACCCATCGGCACCCGATGGCCTTGCGACCTTTCGGAAGAGGCACGATTTCCCACGTGTCGTTTCTCTGAAGCGAATCGAACTCCGAGTCACACGCTTCTTTCCACTTGCCGGAGTCGCTTGATTCCATCGCCGACTTGAATGTAGTCGGCGTTTCCCCCACTGAATCAACGATGTAGGCTGCTTCAAAATCCATTGCAGCCGCTGACACATGCTCAAGCGACGGACCTCTGTATGTTCTTCGCTTGGGACTTGGAATGACGGTAGCTTTCTCAAGTGATTGAGTGCGCGTGTGTCTCTTGATGTTGCTCTTCGAAGACCTGGTGTCTTCGTTGTCATCGTCGCTCGAGTCCATGTCGTCGTCAGTTTTACCTTCTTCTTTTTCTTCGTCCTCATCATGATCATCAAACTCAACGACACTTGACTCATCGTTGTAGTTGCGCGGACCTTCATCAAACTTGTCTTCCATGAATGTGGCATCGCGACTGATCTTGATCGCTCCTGTTGACACTTCCTCAAATCGATATGACTTCTGGTGTTCGGCGTATCCCAGGAAACGACAGAGTGATGACTTGGAGTCGAACTTCGCGCGTTTGTCTTGAGGCACTTGAACATACGCGTGGCATCCAAACACTTTAAGGTTGGCCAGAATCGGTTTCTTCATCGTCCACACTTGATATGGAGACTTGTCTTGGTGAATGGCACGTGTTGGACAGCGGTTTCGAAGAAACATCGCCGTCATCACTGCTTCACCCCAGTAGCTCTTTCCCAGTCCAGCGTGTTCCATCATGCAACGCGCACACTCGACCAGCGTGCGATTCATTCTCTCAGCTACTCCGTTTAGCTGAGGAGTATATGGGGGTGTGAACCTTTGTTGTATTCCCCGTTCCGCGCAGAATCGTGCCAGCTTGTCGGACTTGTATTCACCCCCATTGTCGCTTTGAAGGTACTTCACGCGCTTTCCGGTTTGCGTTTCGGCCATCGCAGCGTATTCCATGAACTTCGCCGCAACTTCAGATTTGCTCTTGAGCAGATAGACGACACAGTATCTTGACTTGTCATCAATGAATGTCACGAAGTACCGTTTTCCACTGAAAGTTGCCATCGACATCGGTCCGCATACGTCGCTGTGAATCACTTCGAGGAGTTTGGAGGTGCGAGCTGTAGTGTTTGATTGGAAGCGCACTCGAGTCTGTTTTCCCAGAGCACAACCTTCACACACGTCCCACTTCTTCACCGAAGATATGTCGATGCCAATTCCAATGTTCTTCGTCACGATGCAATTGAGTCCATCGTGACCTATGTGGCCAAGCCGAAGGTGCCAGAGGTACGACTTGGTGCCCCCTTGACATCCCGACGACTTGGCTGCATTTGCTTGTTCCGGCGCCACTGGAGTCATTTGCAGCTTGAACAGTCCTTTACCTTCACGGGCACCAATTTTCCACTTGGTCCCTTTCGCTTCTCCATAGCACCCATCCTTCGTGAACGTCACTGGGCCGACATCCTTGGTGAAGCGGCCGACCGAGAACAGGTTTCTGGATAACTTTGGGATGTGCCACACGTTTGTGAGCACACCTTTCTTCATCCCTTGGGGTGTCTTCATCGACATGACAATGTCCCCACTGCCGATTGCTTGGACGATTCCATCATCCGCGAGATGGACATCCACAGCGTCAAACCCCTTGTAGTTCCGCATGAACTTCTTGGAGCACGTCATGTGCTGCGTCGCCCCGGAGTCGACCAGCCAGATGTCGCTCGATTTCGCAGATGTCGTTTCACCGATCGAAAGAGGTAGTCGCCCGAGTCTTCTTCTTGAGCGACGTTTGCACGTTGTGATCGATAGCGGTCGCCGCTGTCTTGAGCACGCTGTGGCCGGTGTCTCTCCGTGTTTTCTTGGATGCGCGAGGGGCACTCCGCCATCCAGTGACCAATCTTTCCGCAATTGTGGCACGGCCAGGACTTCTTCACTGGTCGCCCTTTGCGCTGATTGTCCCTTGTGATGAACGCTTGACCTTGCGAAGCTTCATCACCTTTACTTCCTTGCTCCTTCCGCTTCATTTCTTCATGAAGCAGTCGAGACGTCACGAGCTCCCAGCTAAGAGTGTCTGAGCGCGACTCCAAAGCTGTGATCAGAATTGATACGAGTCACTCAGGCTGCCGAGGAGTGTGATCACCAGATCGTCCTCGCAGACTGGAGCCCCCACCGCTTCTAGCTGTTCCGCCAGCGTCTTGAGCTTGTTGATGTGTTCGAGCACATCGTCGCCTTCTTCCATCATTGTCGTGAAGAAGCGACGGCGCAAGAACAGCTTGTTGGCAAGACTCTTCTTCTCGAAGTGGTCTTCCAACCTTGACCATGCGTCGCATGCACCACTTGCCGACCGGACCAACGGTAGCTGGGAATCTTCCATGGCTAGACAGATCACTGCCATCGCCTTTCTTGACTTCCTCTTGTACGTCGCTTGGTCCAACTGAGTCTCGCACTGTTCCGCCTTGATCTCACCGCTGACGACCTCCCATAGGTCCCGTTCCTCCAGCACCATCTGCATCTTGAACTTCCAGGCGTGGAAGTTAGTTCCATCGAACTTGGAGATGCGGAGGGAGGAGGCGTCCATGGCAGCTAAGCTTGAATTGTTGGCGGTTTCAGAGTCTGACGAACTTGGGCTCATAACCTGATGAACTTTAGACTTCTTGGTCCGAGTGCAAAACGCAAAGTGAATATATATTTATAATAGGTACTTAGTTCGCAACTTTGAATACTACCTCTAAGCCTATTATTCGCAGTGACGTCATCCAGTGACGTCACCCACTGACGTCACCCACTGACGTCATGCAATGACGTCATCCAGTGACGTCATTTCCTGACTTCGCCCTTACTGGTACATACCGGTACCCACCGGTATAGCGAAGCTTGGTCTTCCACTTGCTTCAACACTTGACGCAGCTTGACGAGGTGTCTTCTTCACAGCCGCTGTCTTTTCAACACCGCGACACATAGCCCACAGCAAACGCAATGTCCGGACGCGTTGCAGTGGTCAGGTGCATCAACGCACCAACAGCTTCGCGAAAAGGAGCATCGACCTTGGTAGTTGCATCACATGAAATAAGTCGAGAGCTCATGTCGACTGGACTTGCGACTGCCTTGCAATCATCCATGCCAAAGCGCTTGAGGATATCATCGACATACCGACGCTGACATAGTGTCACACTGCCATCTTCACCGTCCAAAAGCTCGATCCCAAGAACAAACGCACACTTGCCGCTGTCCGTCATTTCGAACCGCGTCTTCAGGTCGTTCTTGGTTTGTGCAATCAGCTCGAGTGAGCTTCCAGTCACCAAGACGTCGTCCACGTAGACCAGTATAAACACGCAATGGTGTTGCATTGTAGATCGGAGCGAGGAAAGCGGAGCGAACGGAGCGGAGAGACCGAAGAGAGTAGAGCAGAAAACACTTGCCCAATAGTTGGAAGATTCGAAAGTGATTGATTATCGGGGCTTACTACTTACTACATGATTTATATGTAGTGTACATATAAATCATGTGAAGCGTCTCATCATCCTACGCGTCTAATCAACTATGGTAATTACCGTAAGAACTACGTCGTAAATACTAAGCTGAACAGGCGGTTCGGATTGGATCGGTCACGGTTACCAATACTGGTAGAAAAACGGGACGATGACCGTCAACACGCCCCCTCAATCCGAATGCTCACGAATCCCGAGAGCCGTCGTCATCTCCTTGTGGTGTGGTCCATGAAGTCCCTTCGTCATGATGTCCGCTAAAATCACCGCAGTTTCACAGTACTTGAGCTTCACTTCACCGCGCTTGACCTCATCACGGATGTGATGGTACTTGATATCAATGTGCTTGGCACGGCCGTGGTTGACCGGGTTCTTCGTCATCTTGATACATGACTGATTGTCTTCATGAATCATGAGTTCCGGTCCTTCTTCATTGGCAGCCATCACGATCTCACAAAGCAGACGATGAATCCACTTGCCCTCTTGAATCGCCAAGCTGAGTGCGATGTATTCAGCTTCAGTCGTGGACAACGAAACACTTGGCTGCTTCTTGCTGCCCCAAGTCACTAGCGCACCGAGTAGCATGAACGTGTACCCCGATGTTGACTTGCGGTCGGTAAGATCACCAGCCCAATCCGCATCCGAATATCCACGGAAGTCAATCCTTGCACTTGGCTTGTAGCAAATTCCATGCGTCTTGGTGCCTTGTAGGTAGCGAAAGATACGCTTAACTGCAACCCAGTGTTCTTCTTGGGGATTTTCCATGAACCGCGACACATAGCCCACACCAAACGCAATGTCCGGACGCGTTGCAGTGGTCAGGTGCATCAACGCACCAACAGCTTCGCGAAAAGGAGCATCGACCTTGGTAGCTGCATTGCTTGAAATAAGTCGAGAGCTCATGTCCACTGGACTTGACACAGCCTTGCAATCATCCATGCCAAAGCGCTTGAGGATATCATCGACATACCGACGCTGACATAGTGTCACACTGCCATCTTCACCGTCCAAAAGCTCGATCCCAAGAACAAACGCACACTTGCCGCTGTCCGTCATCTCGAACCGCGTCTTCAGGTCGTTCTTGGTTTGTGCAATCAGCTCGAGCGAGCTTCCAGTCACCAAGACGTCGTCCACGTAGACCAGTATAAACACGCAATGGCCGTCCGAAGTCTTGATGTAGAGACATGGGTCGAAGTCCGATACTTGAAATCCGATGGAGCACACATACTCGTCGAACGTCTCGTTCCACACTCGCGACGCTTGCTTGAGGCCGTAAATCGACTTCACCAATTCCAGGCAGTCGAAAGTACTGTCAAGTTCGACGCCTTCAGGAATCACAGAGATCACTTGTTCCTTCATGACGCCATACAGGAAAGCTGTCACCACATCAAGCTGGTCGATGGGCCATCCAAAATGCTTGGAAATTGCAATCACCATTCGCAGCGTCACATACTTGACCACAGGCGAAAACGTCTCCGTGTAGTTAATGCCATACTTTTGGCGGAAACCCTTGGCCACAAGTCGTGCCTTGTACTTCTCGATTGACCCATCCGCCTTGCGCTTGATCTTGAACACCCATTTTGTGCCAATGGCGCGTTGTCCGTTGGGCAGCTTGGCTGCACGAAACACACCGCGAAGTCGCATTGACTCGAGCTCTGCATGAATTGCTTTTTCTCCAGTGCACTTGGTCAGGGCCGCTTACTGCTGCTTCAAATGTTGAGGGCTCTGATAAGTCCACTGCTGCTTCAACGGCATTTGCACTCGCACGCCAAAACACAGGCGGTGTTGAATCATCAGAATCCTTCGTTTCTTCGTCTTCTTCTTGGCGTGACGAGTTGTTTTCCGGCACGCTTGACTCTTCTAGTCCTGGTCGTTGACGCACTGCACGCGGTCGTGGAGCTGCTGTATCTTCATCATTGAGTCGGTTCTTGCGCTTTGTTGCATTGTAGATCGGAGCGAGGAAAGCGGAGCGAACGGAGCGGAGAGACCGAAGAGAGTAGAGCAGAAAACACTTGTCCAATAGTTGGAAGATTCGAAAGTGATTGATTATCGGGACTTACTACTTACTACATGATTTACATGTGGTGTACATATAAATTATGTGAAGCGTCTCATCATCCTACGCGTCTAATCAACTATGGTAATTACCGTAAGAACTACGTCGTAAATACTAAGCTGAACAGGCGGTTCGGATTGGACCGGTCACGGTTACCAATACTGGTAGAAAAACGATGACCGTCAACACGCCCCCTCAATCCGAATGCTCACGAATCCCGAGAGCCGTCGTCATCTCCTTGTGGTGTGGTCCATGAAGTCCCTTCGTCATGATGTCCGCTAACATCACCGCAGTTTCACAATACTTGAGCTTCACTTCACCGCGCTTGACCTCATCACGGATGTGATGGTACTTGATATCAATGTGCTTGGCACGGCCGTGGTTGACCGGGTTCTTCGTCATCTTGATACATGACTGATTGTCTTCATGAATCATGAGTTCCGGTCCTTCTTCATTGGCAGCCATCACGATCTCACAAAGCAGACGATGAATCCACTTGCCCTCTTGAATCGCCAAGCTGAGTGCGATGTATTCAGCTTCAGTCGTGGACAACGAAACACTTGGCTGCTTCTTGCTGCCCCAAGTCACTAGCGCACCGAGTAGCATGAACGTGTACCCCGATGTTGACTTGCGGTCGGTAAGATCACCAGCCCAATCCGCATCGGAATATCCACGGAAGTCAATCCTTGCACTTGGCTTGTAGCAAATTCCATGCGTCTTGGTGCCTTGTAGGTAGCGAAAGATACGCTTAACTGCAACCCAGTGTTCTTCTTGGGGATTTTCCATGAACCGCGACACATAGCCCACACCAAACGCAATGTCCGGACGCGTTGCAGTGGTCAGGTGCATCAACGCACCAACAGCTTCGCGAAAAGGAGCATCGACCTTGGTAGTTGCATCACTTGAAATAAGTCGAGAGCTCATGTCGACTGGACTTGCGACTGCCTTGCAATCATCCATGCCAAAGCGCTTGAGGATATCATCGACATACCGACGCTGACATAGTGTCACACTGCCATCTTCACCGTCCAAAAGCTCGATCCCAAGAACAAACGCACACTTGCCGCTGTCCGTCATCTCGAACCGCGTCTTCAGGTCGTTCTTGGTTTGTGCAATCAGCTCGAGCGAGCTTCCAGTCACCAAGACGTCGTCCACGTAGACCAGTATAAACACGCAATGGCCGTCCGAAGTCTTGATGTAGAGACATGGGTCGAAGTCCGATACTTGAAATCCGATGGAGCACACATACTCGTCGAACGTCTCGTTCCACACTCGCGACGCTTGCTTGAGGCCGTAAATTGACTTCACCAATTCCAGGCAGTCGAAAGTACTGTCAAGTTCGACGCCTTCAGGAATCACAGAGATCACTTGTTCCTTCATGACGCCATACAGGAAAGCTGTCACCACATCAAGCTGGTCGATGGGCCATCCAAAATGCTTGGAAATTGCGATCACCATTCGCAGCGTCGCATACTTCACCACAGGCGAAAGCGTCTCCGTGTAGTCGATGCCATACTTTTGGCGGAAACCCTTGACCACAAGTCGTGCCTTGTACTTCTCGATTGACCCATCCGCCTTGCGCTTGATCTTGAACACCCATTTTGTGCCAATGGCGCGTTGTCCGTTGGGCAGCTTGGCTGCACGAAACACACCGCGAAGTCGCATTGACTCGAGCTCTGCATGAATTGCTTTTCTCCAGTGCACTTGGTCAGGGCCGCTTACTGCTGCTTCAAATGTTGAGGGCTCTGATAAGTCCACTGCTGCTTCAACGGCATTTGCACTCGCACGCCAAAACACAGGCGGTGTTGAATCACCAGAATCCTTCGTTTCTTCGTCTTCTTCTTGGCGTGACGAGTTGTTTTCCGGCGCGCTTGACTCTTCTAGTCCTGGTCGTTGACGCACTGCACGCGGTCGTGGAGCTGCTGGATCTTCATCATTGAGTCGGTTCTTGCGCTTTGTTGCATTGTAGATCGGAGCGAGGAAAGCGGAGCGAACGGAGCGGAGAGACCGAAGAGAGTAGAGCAGAAAACACTTGTCCAATAGTTGGAAGATTCGAAAGTGATTGATTATCGGGACTTACTACTTACTACATGATTTACATGTGGTGTACATATAAATTATGTGAAGCGTCTCATCATCCTACGCGTCTAATCAACTATGGTAATTACCGTAAGAACTACGTCGTAAATACTAAGCTGAACAGGCGGTTCGGATTGGACCGGTCACGGTTACCAATACTGGTAGAAAAACGATGACCGTCAACACGCCCCCTCAATCCGAATGCTCACGAATCCCGAGAGCCGTCGTCATCTCCTTGTGGTGTGGTCCATGAAGTCCCTTCGTCATGATGTCCGCTAACATCACCGCAGTTTCACAGTACTTGAGCTTCACTTCACCGCGCTTGACCTCATCACGGATGTGATGGTACTTGATATCAATGTGCTTGGCACGGCCGTGGTTGACCGGGTTCTTCGTCATCTTGATACATGACTGATTGTCTTCATGAATCATGATTTCCGGTCCTTCTTCATTGGCAGCCATCACGATCTCACAAAGCAGACGATGAATCCACTTGCCCTCTTGAATCGCCAAGCTGAGTGCGATGTATTCAGCTTCAGTCGTGGACAACGAAACACTTGGCTGCTTCTTGCTGCCCCAAGTCACTAGCGCACCGAGTAGCATGAACGTGTACCCCGATGTTGACTTGCGGTCGGTAAGATCACCAGCCCAATCCGCATCCGAATATCCACGGAAGTCAATCCTTGCACTTGGCTTGTAGCAAATTCCATGCGTCTTGGTGCCTTGT